TGCATGGTGGTTGTGGTGCTGCCTCATTCACTTGAATGGGTTGCGTTTGGCAGACGGCATCTATGCATTTAAGCCTTTGCAGCTTGGGGGGGGGGGCAGTAAAAACCTGGCGTAATCCAACTAGGCCTAATGATGTGCAGCTCAAACTGGAGGGAGTGCATGTAGAGTGCAAGTGGACAGAAAGTGGATGAAAGAGGGTGGAGAAGATCATCAGCACTGAGATGCCAAAAAGAATTGAAAAAAGAAACAAAGTAGAAAAACATTTTTTAAAGAAAAGAAAACTTGGCAATTGTCGGATACACATGATAGCAATCTAAAAATCATTCGGGTAAGGGCATCTTTAGGACTCATGCACTGTGCCTGAGCTATTGTTCAATGTACTAAAGTAAAGCTAGGCATAACCTGACCTTCATATTTATCACTGGGCCTCTCCACTGGTTCGTATGAGATTTCCTATAGCCAGATATGGAAAACCTATGATTAACACCTTCCTTCCCTCTTCTCATTGAAAGCTTGAAAAATTTATGTTCTTTGTGAGTGATAAGGAGGGCTAGTACCAAGCTGGATGCTATCATTATTACCTCTTAGCATTGTATCATATCATAAGATATGCAGAGAAGGCCACCTGACTGCCAGGAACTATCAGTAGGACCTGGTAACAACTCATTTGTGAAGACCCAGTCCTCAGTAGGAACCTTTGAACCTAGGATCTGGTTCTGAGCAGAAAACGGATGTAGGGAATCCCAGTAGCAAAAGAAACTTGGAGGACTAGAGGCAGAATTCATAGAGTGCATGTAGTTCAGGTAGAAGGAAGATGGTCTTCTGATGTTAGAGTTAGTGGTAGAAATGGAAGAAGCATCTGGTTTGCCAAAGAGACTTTCCTGCAAAGTTCCTTCTAGAATGCAGCCCCCAAGTTTGCTTCAATGGGAACAAGCAGAAGTGAAATTACACAACCTGAATTGGGCATAGGTGGAGTGGAGGAGAACCCACTCCAAATACAAAGTCAGGATCAGAACTGAGTGTCACCGGAGTACTGAAGCAGGCGACAAGCCATTGTTGAGAATCAAGGCATGAAGAAGTAACTAGTCCAAACTGAAAGCAAATGAGCCAAGGGTAGAGATATCAAATCAGAAGACGAAGGCACAAGCTGGGTCAAGGCAGGAAAATAGCTCAGGTTTAGGAGGAACATGAAATCAGGTATAGTCAGACTATCTAGCAATATAGAAACATAGAAGAGTGATAGCAGGAAAAAGGCCCAAGTGGTCCATCGAGTCTGCTGGAAGTCTGTTCCAAACATTAACTACTCTTTTGGTAAAAATAATACTTTCTATGGTAAGTTTTGAACTTTCCTCCTGCTAGTTTGAAGTCATGTCTCTGTGATCTTGATCTTCGCTTCATATACTTCAAATGCTGCCCTCCTGAACCTTATTCACACACGTAATGGGGTTGATTTACTAATGGCAAATAGACTGTGCAGAGCTTAGTAAATGAGCAGAAGCTCTGATGACTTCCATCATCCAATCATGTGCAAAAAAAAATGCTGTTTTTTTTTAATTTTCCTTGCATGTGATCGGGTATTCTTTTAAAAAGGGAAGCTTTACCTCATTTAATAAGTTCTGGAGCAACTGCACTTGCAGAGTGCAACTGCACTTTGCAAACTGCACATTCTATTTGCCTTTAGTAAATCACCCCTAATGCATCTAAAGGTTTCAATCATGTCTCCACTTTCACTTTTATATTTCTATGTACTATGCTTCTTCAATTCTAATACAGTTGTGCTCAAAGGTTAGCATACCCTGGCAGAAATCATGACATTTTGGCACTGATATTTAAAATATGCTACAAAAAAGCCAGATGAGGCGTGTCAAGGTGTTGTCAAGGTTTTTGTTGGACATATTGTACCCATGCAGCTCATTTTTGTTTAAGTATTGTCGTATTGTGCTATTTGAAACAACCACACCATCTTTTTCCAGAGCAACCTGTATTTCTTCTGATGTTACCTGGTTTTTCCTTGTATCCTGAACAATTCTTCTGGCAGTTGTGGATTAAATCTTTCTTGGTCTACCTGATCTTGGCTTTTTGCCAGGACATCCCCGAATTTTCCACTTCATAATAAGTGGTTGAACAGTACTGACTGGCATATTCAAGGCTTTGGATATGCTCGTATTTTCATACCCCTTTCCATCTTTATAACGTTCCATTACCTTGTTACACAGGTCTTTTGACACACATTCCAGGGTATGTAAACATTTGATCAGGGCCATTTGGGAAATGTATGTTATCATTATGATTTAAAAAGAAGCCAAACAACTGTGATAATAAATGGCTTCATATGATCATTTTTTTGGCATGATCAGTCATATTTCAATATCCATGCCAAAATGTCACGATTTCTGCCAGGGTATGCAAACTTTTGAGCACAACTGTATAATTCATTTTACTATTATCTTATATTTTATATTCTATCTTTCTTATACAAAAATACCCCAACATGTGCTCCTTCGTACACGGCTTGCAAGTTTATCTTTTTGTAACTACTTATCTCCATACTTGTTCTAGATTGGTGACTCAGAAAGAACTGAAACCAGCGGACAGCTTAACGGCCAGACAGTTAACATTTTCAGCAACATCTATTGTGAAAGAAATATGGACTCCAAGTTGTTGACAATACAAAAAGTACTGAAGTCATTGCAATAACATAACATAACATAACAGCCATTACATCTAAAAAAATCCTTTCTTTACAATATTCTGTAAATCGACTTCATTAAAATGCCTTTTTAATAGTGTAATGCGGACTTCTGACTTGTTGCCAGGTCTGTAGGAACTTGTGGGTGATTTATCATGTAATTAAAGTGTGTCAGCAGTTTGGTGTCCTGTCACTCCTTATATTTTCATAGGATCAGTAGCTGTAATTTAGTTTTCATCTGTTAACTCGGCTGAAATTTGGATGACAGAGGGTCTGGTGTCACTGAGACACACTGCTGGCATGAACAAGGAAATGTCACTGTCAACCTCTCCGCATAGTGAACTCCAGAACAAGAGAATGGGTGGGGAGGGGGTAGTGAAGGCTGCGTTTTAAGAGATCCTAAATATCACTGCTCCAGCCCATGTAACTCCCCCCAGCTCACACACAGCCTCTCACAAAACTCTGCCATAAAATACAAGTCACACTCAGCTGCATACTCTATACACTGTGCAATAGGATCCTGGCCATCCCTGCCTGATTCCAAGAAAGAGCACAGCTGCACTCAGCACCTTGGTACCCTGTATCATCATACTGGCTGCAGGGTATAGAAGATAGGGTGCCTACTGGAGTCAGATCCAGCCTGCTGGATAGAGGGGACAGACCTCAGTGCCCATTGAGGAGTGAGCTCCTGCCTGCAGGGTACAGAGGATAGACATCAATGCCTATGTAGAGGTGAGCTCCAGCCTGCAAGGTACAGAGGATAGACATCAATGCCTATGTAGAGGTGAGCTCCAGCCTGCAAGGTACAGAGGATAGACATCAATGCCTATGTAGAGGTGAGCTCCAGCCTGCAAGGTACAGAGGATAGACATCAATGCCTATGTAGAGGTGAGCTCCAGCCTGCAAGGTACAGAGGATAGACATCAATGCCTATGCAGAGGTGAGCTCCAGCCTGCAGGTTACAGAGGATAGACATCAATGCCTATGTAGAGGTGAGCTCCTGCTTACAAGGTACAGAGGATAGACATCAATGCCTATGTAGAGGTGAGCTCCAGCCTGCAGGGTACAGAGGATAGACATCAATGCCTATGTAGAGGTGAGCTCCAACCTGTATTGTACTGAGGACAGATATCAGTGCCTAATTAGAGGTGAGCTCGTGCTTACAAGGTACAGAGGATAGACATCAATGCCTATGTAGAGGTGAGCTCCAACCTGCATTGTACTGAGGACAGATATCAATGCCTATGTAGAGGTGAGCTCCAACCTGCATTGTACAGAGGATAGACATTAATGCCTATGCAGAGGTGAGCTTCTGCCTGCAAGGTACAGAGGATAGACATCAATTTCTATGCAGAGGTGAGCTCCTGCCTGCAAGGTACAGAGGACAGACATCAATGCCTATGTAGAGGTGAGCTCCTGCCTGCAAGGTAAATTAGATAGACCAATAAAGAAGTAAGCTTCAACTTAGGACCTCAGGACCCATGGAGGTGTGAGCTCAGTCCTGCAGTGTAGAGAGGATAGACCTCGGTGCCCATAAAGTGAGCTACAGTCTGCAAGTTGCAGAGGATAGTTCTCAGTGCCTATAGAAAAGTGAGTCCCAGCTTTCAGGGTAAAAGGATAGATCTCAGTGCCCCCTGTGGTCCAGCCTGCAGGGTAGAGAAGATAGTCATCAGTGCCTTCAGAGCAGTGAGCTCCAGCCTGCCCATAGAGGAGTAAACTCCTGCCTGCAGGGTAGAGGATAGACCTTAGTGCTCAGTGTGATCCAGCCTGCAGAGTAGGGAGGATAGACCTCAGTGCCCAGGATCAGCTTACAGAGTAGAGAAGAGGGATCTCTGTGCCCACAGAGAAGTGAGCTCAGTCTGCAGGGTAAAGAGGATAGCCCTCAGTGTGATCTAGCCTACAGGGTAGAGAATATAGCCCTCAGTATCCAGTATGATCCAGCCTGCAGGGTACAGAAGATAGCCCTCAGTGTCCAGTGTGATCCAGCCTGCAGGGTACAGAGGATAGCCCTCAGTGTCCAGTGTGATCCAGCCTGCAGGGTACAGAAGATAGCCCTCACTGTAACCTAGCTTACAGAGTAGAGAGGATAGACCTCAGTGCCCATACAGGAGTGACCTCCAGCCTGCAGCAAGCAGAGGATAGAACTTGGAGCCCAGTGTGATACAACCTACAGAGTAGAGAGGATAGACCTCTCTGCTCATAGAAGAGTGAGCTCCAGCCTGCAGTGAAGAAAGGACAGACCTCAGTGCCCAGTGTGATCCAGCCTACCCACCTGGTGCCCATCATGAAGGGGTCTCCCTGCTGCCCAGTCATGCTCATTCTTTTTTCCCTCACCCTCCTCCGCGGATCCTCATCCTGCCCATCCCGCTGTGATGTCACAAGGTGCCCGAGCCCGGTCTGCCCCAGCGGGTACGTTCCTGATCGCTGCAACTGCTGCCTCATCTGTGCCGCAGGGGAAGGAGAGCCCTGTGGCCGGGAAGGGGACCCACCCTGTGGGGACACTCTACACTGCAAGCCACCAGCTGGAAAGAGGGGCACCAAGGGGACGTGCCAGTGCAAGCATGACTACCAGGTGTGTGCCAACGACGGGCAGACCTACGACAACCTGTGCCAACTGAAACTGGCGAGTCGGAGGGCACTGCAGCAAGGGCACCCCCCAGTCGTGCAGGTGCACAAGGGTGCATGCCAATCGGGTAAGGAGGGTCATGAAATGGGTGACACCATGAAAAGAACTATGGGGGAACTACAAGTCTCAGCATACCTTGGGTGGCAATGGCTTATGTCATTTCTAAATTAGGGCTATCCCAAGGTCAGGGGATCTGGTTTATGCATGGCTATCACTGTATATACATTATCATCTACCTGTATATGTCACATCCAGGGAATGTCTTCATATCTATGATATATCTTTCATGTATTGATATCACATTTTATGAGAGAGAGAGAGAGAGAGAGAGAGAGAGAGAGAGGGGGGGGGGGGGGGTGGGGAGCTCTGACACCTCTGACATACAATTGTCACTGAAAGGTGTCCCCAAGTGGAATATTTCCAGATCTGGAAACAACTCATTAATTTGTTACTTGGTCAGTGATCTCCCCAACAGGGAGACAGAGGGCAATTTTGAAGTTTTGAATGAGTCAATTCATTGAATGTACTGAGAATTGTCATATGAATGTCTGTATGAATTGCCAGCCTAAAGTGGTTTTAAACCAAAAGAAAACATTTGTATATTGCAGCTTACCATTTCTTAGATGTGGTGATTTCTTACATTTGTTTTCTTATTTAGTTTTTCTTTCCTTCATTTTCATCGGGTGATCTGGACATAAAGTTTGTTGTTTTCCAACAGAATGAGCTCTCCTGCAGATGTAGCAGTTAAAGGGTTGAGACACGCCATTTACCACTGGCAGGGGTGGTCTTAATGATCAGCTTTTATTAATTCCTGTAAAACCATTATCCCAAAAGCAAAATAAAACTGTTGCTGTAACTGCTTATAAGTATTAATTGAGCTTTGGCTCAATTTTTGTTGGTTTATCTAAATCTGTTAGTACATCAAACACTCCCCTCCCCCCTGGCGGACAATGCTGCCGCCCCCTGTGCTCCTTCATCCAGAGTTGGGTCACTCTAATACAGGAGATGTGTTACTGGGTAAAAAACAGGGGGGAAAACGTCAAAAAAAAAAAAAAAACTAATGCAGCCACCACATCTAATGATTGGTAAGCTGCAAGATATTACATTTATAGTTTTAGTTTTATTACCACTTTAATTAACCATGTCACTACCAGAGTAGTTAGAACTTCTGCCAGGTTTATAATGTCGTATGTTGTCCCCTTCTCCTTGCTTTGTCCTGGTAACCATTGTCATTGCAACCAAAGTGATAGGAAATCCCAAATTTCAACATTTTATCTTTTAAAAGTTCAGTTCTGGTGATTTTCCTTTATTTCCTGGTATATCTTTGTCATCAGCCAGAAAAATAAATCAAGAGGAGTTCTAAGTATTCTCTACTATATCCAAAATGAAAAGTTGTGGCTTTAGATACACATTCATTGTAACTATATTAAAGTGAAATCCTTCCTATATCTGGGGCTGCCCCCACACAGCAAGGGATAAAGGAAAACTCAAGGATTTTTTGAAATTTTAAAAATACAGTATAGGGAGGGTTATAACCTGTGTCAGTTTGTTTGCCATATGTGTCCTATTGGGGAGATTTCCCTTCACTTCCTGTCCCATAGCCAAAACAGGAAGTGAGAGGAAATCTCTCCAAAGTGATCCCATAGGAAGATTTATCCTCTATCCTTGATCTGGTGACAACAAAAAACGTGGAATTTTCTTTTTCATTTTATTACTCTCGGTGATAACGGTAAACACAACAAATAGAGAGGGCCAAACTCCTAATGGGAGCACCGGCAGCAATTAAAACCTGACAGGTGTCCTAATCTCTCTCCACTATCCAAAACTACAAAAACAGTTTTTCCTTTAGCTATAACTTGAGGAATGCTAAAACCTTTCCTTGCAGTGAGGATGCGCCCACAGCGCAAAGGTTAACTGCTCATTTAGAAGTAGGAGCTTAAAAAACAGTTTTACCTATCCAATCCTCCACTCCCTCGGCAAATGGCAACCCCCCCCCATGCTCCAATAGTGGACTCTTCTTCAGCATCCTTACATTCAATGCAGGGCTATGGTCCCTGCATCAGTCTTGATGATGTTAGAGGACCTTAGACTGCAGAAGAATGGGGGAGGAGAGGCTGTGGGGAGCACAGTGCAGATTTAGTAAGCACGTTACCAAATCCCCTACACTAAGAGCTAGTTCACACCAGATGCAGTCCAGTGCATTTCTGTCTGCATGAAAAATGCATGCACAGTGTTTTCCATGTATTCCAATGGCCTTGGTTCACACCAGTGCAGTCAGTTCCAGTCAGTTTCCGGTGCAGAAAAAAATCTAGAACATGCTGAATTTTTTCTGCACAGAACCATACTGGAACGTGGCAAAATGCATCAAAAACGCACTGAAACGGAGTGTGGTGTGAACTGTAAGCAAAAACACATCCAGGACGCATCCAGAGTGCATTTTTCTGGTGTGAACTGGCCCTTAGCAGTTAGCCCTTGCAGTGAGGACTGTTGGGTTTTTTTGAAGTTCAGATTTAAAGTAGCTGTAATGGTTTTTTACCTTCATGCATTTTATGTATGAAGGTGCAAAAACTTCTGTGTGCAGCGGCCCCCCCATACTTACCTGAGCCCCATCTCGATCCAGCGATGTGCACAAGAGCCTCAGCTGTCCCAGGTATCTCCTTCCTCATTGGCTGAGACAGTAGTGGGAGCCATCGGCTCCTGCTGCTGTCAATCACAGCCAGTGAGCCAATGAGGAGAGAGCAGAGGGCAGGGCCAAGCCACGTCTGTGTGTGAATGGACACACAGAGTAGCGGCTTGGGAGCGAGCCTGCTTGGGTGTCCCCATAGGAAGCTGCTTGCTGTGGGGGCACTAGGCAAGAGGGAGGGACTAGGAACACTGGTAGGGGACCCAAGAAGAGGAGGATCAGGAAAAAAACATTTCAGAGTGCAGGCAAGTATGACATGTTTGTTTACAAAATAAAAAAAAGAATCTGCCTTTAGGCCTGGTTCACACCTATGCATTTTTGGTGCTTTTTGCACAGTCCATTTGACATTGTTTGCTATGGGACACATTCACATCTATAGACTTTTTTAAACACAAAGCAGTGCGTTTTTGGTTTAATAGACTTCAATAGAAATGCTGCAGAAAAGCATGTAGTGTGTTTTTGACATGTTTTTGACGTGTTTTGCATTTTTTTAAATCTTCCCAACAACAAATTGGCCAAAAAAAAAACAGGCTCCTTCCATGCTGCTAGACCGCTCCCTAGAGCTTCCTCTCTCCTACACTGCAGCCATCTCTTGCCCCCTGACGTCATCAAGTACAGTGCAGGGCGCATAGCCCCGAATGGAATGTGAGGACACCAAGGGACAGTCCACAAGCAGGAGCATAGGGGATCAATGGCTGCCAGGGGAGGGGGAATCAGGAAGGTAAAGCTGATTTTTCTTCCCCTAGACATAAATGATCATTTAACCCTTTCAGTGCAGGGGCAGCCCCACTGAAAGGAATGGTTTCACCCCAGATATGCCACGCAACTAACACATTTTTTATACATGTGAGAACACGTGACAAACCTATAAAAAAAGTATGAAGCTCAGAAAGGTGCATGAGCTTCTTTTCCACATTTTGTTGACTGTAGGGAAGCCCACTGAAAAGAATGGGCTGCTTTATGCACATAAAATGCTCACGCCTGCATGATGGTACAGTAGTGTGAATGGAGGCTGATACTTTGCTATGCTTTACAATGGGAGGCCCATTATTATTACATGGGAAAGTGAGTTATTATACAGTGAGGACTAGAACTTGTTCCTGGCTGTCTTCCAGAAATTGTGTCTGGTTAGTGCAAACAGAGCCTCATTGTATAATATTAATGGCAGCACTCCGGGAATGGTAAACTGGATCCTAATTGCTATTGTAGACTATGGAAGTAAATAATGTTATTCATGCTCAGACAGCATTGAGAGCGATCATAATACATGACAAAACAAAGCGACTTTCTTTTTATGATGTGAAGCTTAGAAGACACATGCGGCTAGAATACTGTAACAGTTTGCAGAAAAACAAATGCTGGCTGCTTGTTTATATGGTGGTGATCTATTAGTTGGTGTTCCTAGATTGCCTCTAGATGGCTGTTATTATTATGTGCTGGTCATAGACATTAAATGGCAGTTGGACAGGAGGTGCCATTCAACAACTGATTTTTTTTTTTCTAATGTAGAGATACAGGGATTGCTGTTGATGACCTGTTTCTGAAAAGGCCAGTTGCCTGGCTTTTATTTTAGCGAGTAAACTTAGCAAGTGGTCCTTATCTGCATACTTGACCCAAATTATTGAAACCAGAGGGCCAATATGAAGCCAGGCAAGCAACATTTGTCAAATGAGAATTAACAATGGTAGCCTCCGTGTTTGGTAGCCTCCATGTTTCTTTCCTGTAATATATCACCCAAGCATGCATGCTGAATCCAACTCCAGTCAAAACTTTATTGGCTTGTTTGCATGGATGGCAAGGGGACAGTAAGAACAAGTGTTCGAGACACATTTTTTCTGCCCACAGACCACTGCCCTCCTAAAAGATAACATACAGACCAGAAATGGCTTTACATTTGCCGTGGCCACAGAAAATTCAACGTAGCTTGTCCAGTTTGAGGTTGCCTCCACCAAAATATTGTTCACAACCCCTGAAATGCAAGGTTTTCCTAGTATGACATGGCCCAGCTATGGAAACCCATTGAAAGCTCACTCTCGGCCATAAGGAAGATCTCTCCAGGGTCCTGAAGAGCTGTAAAAACTCAGTAAAGGGTCATAAAAAGAAAGCCAAGCAGTACTTTGTAGTTGGTGGTTTGTCTGGAAAGCTGGTTGTTTAACATTGAGCTTGAGTCGGGGAGGTTTCCCCATGTAGACTGGAAGCAACTCCACCAGTCAATCTCACCCATCAAAGTCAAAAGGACCACAATGCCACAGGGAGTGTTGCAGTTGGGGCGTGGTAATCCCATTTAAAATCCCTGTTCTGCAAAAAAAACTGTCAAACAATTTGACATGGCATTCAGGAGGTGACAGGCTGCTGCTCTACGACCCTCTGAAATGTCCTCCTTG